TGATAGTAATTCATTACGGAAGGTTCAAAGCCAAAAGCCACATATCCCAATGCGGTACTTTTCCTACTAAATTCTCTCTCTAATGTCTGCATTGTCATTTTCATGGTATTGAGTCAATTTCCATTCATGTAGGGGATTGTTGGAAAATTTAATAATATTATTATATTAAATTTATTAGTTGAATGAAAATTAGAAGTGGAGCCTTTTGGTAGAAAGATATGTCTACTTAAATGAAGTGTTACAACTTTTGACTCTTCATGAATAGTCACATGTTTTCCAAAGAGGTATCTCACATTTTATAAATAGGGAAGCCCATATAATCACTTAAAATAACTTTCATTCTTTATAGAATCATACATAGAGTGCATTAAATATTAGAGAGTCTTATAGAGTTCATTTGAAAGAGTTTTCAACACAATCGTGGTTCATGGAGCCTTGTGATTTGGAGCGCTACTATTACAAGGACGTGGTCGTTGTATCTTGGGAGACACGCGCCGATCAATCATGAGCACCATAGTGGGGCGTAAACTTGTCTTAAGGACAAAGTGTCCAACACTTGCCTCGACCGTATTTTCTAGATTTTTCTAATTCATTATGTCATGTTCATTTAGCATTGGTTACTCATGTGCATGCATTAATTTTGATATATAATTGCATTAATTATTTCTTAAATTTTTATGTGATTTAATATAGCAATTAAACCCTAATTTTTCCAACAATATTTCTCAATATTCTTGACACACCCCGACCCAGTATGTCCATTAGGACTCCGAATCGAGTTGTGATGGCCGACACCTGGAAGGTGACGAAGCCATAAAGTGTGATGATGTGGAAAAATTGTGAATAAATTTAAACCTAAAAGTGCCTAAATACCAGAGTGTACTAGTGAGCAGGTATGAACCCACTTCACACTTGACGTTAGAGCATAAGCAAGTACAGAAGAGTGAATTAAGAATCATACCCTCGAAAAAATCTCCAATACTCAGAATCACCACGAATCTTCGACAATAAAAAAACTCAGCTAATAAAACCTGAAGGGTGAAGAAAAGATAAGGGTGAGTGGCCGTGTAATAATTTTTTTAATATAAACCATATAAAACATCATAACCCTCACCACGACACTTGTATAATTTCCACAAAAATCATAAATATACCACAACACAGCATCACGTCAGCAATATCGAATAATTATGTAATTAATAACTCATACTAGTACGCAAGTCGGAGTCACCTATGGTGACCTATACGACTTACCCATATCTCATCACATATACTAGTTCATCACATATGCTAGCTCATCGCATATTCATCACGTATGCTAGCTCATCACATATTCATCACATATTCATTGCATATGCTAGCTCATCACCTATTCATCACATATTCATCATGTATGCTAGCTTATCACATATTCATCACGTATGCTAGCTTATCACATATTCATCACATATGCTAGCTCATCACATATTCATCACATATGCTAGCTTATAAGTCGGAGTCACCCTAGTGACCTATACGACTTATCCATATCTCCTCATATATCTCATTAGTCATTGCTAGCATATAAGTCGGAGTTACATGTAGTGACCTGTACGACATATTCGTATCTCATCGCATATGCAAATGATATGTCAGCCGGATCCACCTCTTGTGGTCTATACGGCTAAGTCTATAGCTCATAGCTCAATCTAGCTGGAGTTACCTCTAGTGACCTATACGGCACTACGCCTGCACACAAGTCGAAACCACTGTAGTGGTCTGTACGACAGGACTAGGTGTAAATGAATACGCTCGAGGGCTACGATCATGTGAAGAGTCACATACGAGTCGGAACCACCTATAATGGTCTGTACGACAGGCTTGTGCACCTACCTTGAATTCAAGGTGAGCGTAAGGTGCAGGAGGTGAACATTATGTGAGACTGTGCCCTGGCCACAGACAGGAGCACTAACACCGGGGTGCAGGTTTATGAGCTTTAAATACATTTAATACCACATGCACGACTTATAAGCAACCTGTACGACAATACTGGAGTTGCCTACTATTGCAACATGTACGACCATGTCGGAGTTACTAAAAAACATCAATGTAGTCATACCATAACCCCATTAGTTCAACTAATACCGTATACTTACTTGAACTTACCTAAACTTACCTGTGTGTCCTGCTTTCACCTTTGTACTTCAGAGCGTTCACAATAATTATGTGCGAAGAATATAAGTATGGATATGCCATGATGAAATCTAAACTTAAAACATTTCATAATATTTCCAATTATAAAATACAATGTACTAACTATTAATCACAAAAACATAAAGTTAAAACGCACATTTTTCACCAATATCCCTCACATTGCACAATTCCTTAAACAAGGCTATTGTCTCGATTATTTAATCTCATTTCTTATATGGCTGCATCTAACGTCTCGTCAGACTACCTACGTACCCTAAACAGGGATCAAGCCATTCGTAGTTCACGACAGTGTTTCAAAGCATTCACAGTAATCATAAGTCATAATCAATTTATAAACATTTATGGAATTGTCCATCATATATATATATATATATATATATATATATACACACACACACACACACACACGATAGAAAAGAAAAGGCCCACTCACCTGAGGTCCGCGCTATGACTCCCTAGCACGCATATCGAGACATCACAAACCATCGTCGCCTGTGACCAATTATTAACTCACATCTCAGAGTTCTGACCGATAAAATACATAATTTACATAAAACATATCCCTACGCAATTCAATTCGGAAGATCAGCATCACGGATTTCCGATCCGTTGCTTCCAACGATTCACATTATGCTTCTAGAATAACATACTAAAATTTCATTACGATCCAACGGTCAGATTTCCGTCAATTGCCCAAAACTAAGTGACGGTTAACATTTATTTTATAAACTTACAATCCAATTCGGGAAGATCCGTACGTTGGATTCCCAATCTGTAAGTTCCTATGATCCTCAAATATTATGCATTATAATGTATTAAAGTTTGGTGACGATCCAACGGTCGGATCGTCAATTCATATTTTGACCTATTCACATGTCGAAATGAAACTAAGCCCAAATAATGAAATTACGTCATACGGATATCAATTATGAACCCAGGGCATCTAATAGCACTTAATTAAAACATCATTGGCCCACAGGCCACGTGCTGACGCACGCGCTGCCGCGGGTGGCGGTCGGTCACCCCGACTCGCCAGAAAATTCAACTGTTTTTAAAAATTCTCAAAAATTACATAATTGAAGATCTCAAAGAGTAGAGTAAACTTTATACATGTGGCCAAGTCCCATTTGGCCTAGAAAGGCTCCAATTTTTCTAAAACAGTACGAAACCCTATAATTGGGTGTGATTCGATTCGACCTTCAAACTTGCTTTGACGCTTCCAGCACTGCTTGGGCTTTGTTCCTGGGTTCTAAGGGAGTGTTTTGGTAGTGGTAATTGAAGAAAAATGTTTCACAAATGGGTGGATTTCAAGTAACCTTTCCCATGGCACCCATGGTGGTTTTTCCACCAAACCTCAACCAATATCCTTCTAATTTTGAGTGGAAATGGAAGAGGGAAGGTTATGGAGTAGGTTTCAGGTAGTGGGAAGGTTTGAATCGCCGGAAAAATGGCCAAATTTGGCCGGGTGCTTGTCAGGTCGAGCGGGTCAAAGGGGAGACCCGGTTTCCCCTTTCATTTTCTTCTTCCTCCTTTCCCTCCTTTCTCCATTCTCTGGTTGGTCACCTCCTCCTCTTTCCTCTCCCCATTCGTCTACCCTCTCTCTCTCCATTTTCTGATTGGGCAGTAGCCCTTTCTTTTCTTCCTTATCCTGTTCCCCACACTTCTTCCCCTCTTCTTCCTCTTTTCACATAACTAAATATAAAATAAATAATCATAAACATTATAAAAATATATGAAAATATATAAATAGTGATTTAAACCAAAAATACTTCTCGAGTACTTCAGGAAAACGCTAAAAGATTAATTCATACACCTCGCCTCTAAGGGTATTTTTCGTAAATTCACATTTTAAAATTTATAAAATAATAAAATTTGGAACGGGTTGTCACAATTCTCCAATCATTACAAATTACGTCACATCTGACATCGTCTAATCGAGAGAGTTGAGGAAACCCTAATCTGTACGTATAGATACGTATTTGGAAAGATGAGCAATTTTCATTTGTTAACTAACCTAGCATCCAAGAAAACAAGCAAGACGGTCGACGTACGTGTAATTTGTGGTGTGTCGCTCTATGGTCCAAGATGTATATTTGTGAAGGACTGATCGAAGAGTGGACTAAAACTAGTCTCATCAGGGCCATCACTATATTGTGAGAAGCTTTGATAGTCCTGGGTCCAACCCAGGAGTTGAATTAATGGGTGTTGTCCCAGAGCAATTATTCTCCCAACAAGAAAAGAGAAAGGAGGGATTCTCGCCGGATCGTCTTTGTGAGGATTCCGGAAATCTTTTAATCATATTCGTTTATCATATATTATACGGTCAGTTTTTGTCAGGTACTGTTTATATTCAATTTTAAATAAAAAAAAATTTACAATAATTTATGACTGCATTATGTACGATGAACGGATGTGATTGAAAGATCCTCCTAGAAAAGAAAAAACCAGACGAACTTGTCCTGTGAAGAGTTGTCACCGTTGTCTTGTTCTCCGTACCGCACCAAAGGGAATTTTTCAATATTTAAATTTATTTCTGACCACAGGATAAAAAATAGAAGAATGAAATGTTTCGCTCAGTTTGCTCCGCAGGCTAGGATCTGGAGGTGATCCCAGTCCTGGCTGGATAGGAAGGCTCGGATGGGGCCAAGGCGTAGGACGGCGTGGTTGGGAGGCAAGGAAGTAGGCAATTTTAAGATTATGGTACGTATCGCGTTAGCGTTTGACATATGGGTTCAAGTTGAGTTTGTAATTTATTAGAAGACAGTACAAATATGGAATACGAGCAAAATCTTCAGGTGACATTTGGATAGTTTGAATGCAAAGATAGTAACTTTCTACTTTATTTTATTCAGCGACCCAATGAATTGACCCAAATAACGGGGCCGGCCGGCCAGCCATGGATGAGACAGCCTCAAGAATATCGTTCGTAAACACGTTATGAATTACATACGTATCGCTTCTAATCCTTATGTCACCCGAAGAGACAAAATGCAAAGACAAAACGCAAAAGGTAACCGATGCCGCTGAAATCAGGACTTCAATTTTCAACAGCTTCAAAATCTGTCAGTCAGTCAGTCGGTTGGGCCAATCATCTTCTCTGGCACCACAAGAGTATCGAATTCTTCGCTGGATAGCATTCCTAGTTTCAATGCAGCTTCCTGCAGAAGGGTTGCATCTTTGTTAGATTCAAATACTTCAGCCGATGCTCGAACATGGTTTGATAATACCATGCGTCTAATACCAACCAGAGACAGAATTTTCCAGTACTCGTCGGGTTTAAGCTGAATTAGCTATCTGATGGAACAAATAAAGTATTGTGAAAGAGAACATATTGTCACTTAGAGAAGTAGGGAATTAATACCTTCAAAGTGGATCCCTCCTTGTGGGCTGTCTTTGCAACTGCCGCAGCATTATCATAACCAATTTTCTGAAATACAAGCAGATACATAAGTCTTGACTCAAACCGTAGTTACACGAGGAAAACATACACATGAATGGGTGGAAACTTACAGGATTCAAGGACGTGACCAACATAAGTGACTGCAAAGCCATGCATTTTCCATACAGAAACAATGTAAAATCAGTTAGCTCTTAAATCTAAGATATGGAAGACTTAAAAGTTGCACATTCTTCACCAAAAATAAACAGACCTCATGAAGTAACTTTGAAATTCTTTCCCTATTAGCTTGAATTCCTCTCACGCAGTTCTTTTCAAAGGAAGCAGATGCATCCCCAAGCAATCTCACCGACTGTCAGTAAATAACCAAAAACACCAATTCAGGAACAAGAGCATGTATATGGTGCTGCAGCACGACAATAGACTCCCGACACAAATCTAGTTACTAGTACATACAATAATAAATGGCATTTCTTTAGGAAGTTCAATCATCTGGAGAACTCAAAATATCATAATGCATCCAATTATATGAAAATGCTTTATGACATTGTTGTACCCAGAACTACATTCAAGAAATGCCGGTACTTGATTGCTACGAGTTTAGTTCTGAAATTTCTGACAACATGAATTTTGATTGTGAACTACAAATCATGGAAATATCACAACAGAACTTACATGCAGGAGACCACTAGCAATCATTGGCTTGAACACATTAAGTTCGAAGTGACCATTTGATCCACCTACCGTAATGGCCACATTGTTACCCATAACCTGCATGCCATAAAAATACAGATTGGTTATGAGAAAAACTATAAAAAGAAGATTACAATATCCTAAAATCAAAGTATCAAACCAACAAGTAATTAATGAGTTCCCAGTTGTTTGTATGTCTTAATGAAACCAAAAAAGGACACTTTACCTGAGCACAGACCATTGTGAGAGCCTCACACTGGGTAGGGTTTACCTTCCCCTGAAACAAATATGAACTCAATCAAAATGATAAGTTTAGTGGGGTTAAAATTTTGCACAGAAAGCTAATTACAGGAATTGGGCTATTTATTCAAAAACATATTTAGGTATATGAGAGTTTACAGGCATTATGCTGCTACCAGGCTCGTTTTCAGGGAGAATGAGTTCACCGAGGCCACAACGTGGACCACTGTACAAGAAATGCACCATGAATTCATAATTACATAAGGGGCACATGGAAAGAGGATGAAGAAAAGACAAGATGATCCAAAAAGTACACAAACCTTCCTAGTAAACGTATATCATTTGCAATCTTCATCAAAGAAGTAGCAACTGTGTTCAGGGCTCCGCTAGTTTCAACAAAAGCATCATGTGCAGCCTGGAAAAAACAATAATGAATAAACAGCATGCAATATTAGTTTGTTGTATACGATGCAATAATGTTTACCAACTGTTCAATCAAGTTAAATATTCCATCCACCAAAAGAAGAAGATGGACATTTAGTGTAGTGACTCACCAAAGCTTCAAACTTGTTTTCTGCAGTGACAAATGGTAACTTTGTTTCCTCAGCTACTGCTGCAGCTATCTTTACATCAAATCTGGACGGAAGACATTAAATAAATGCAAATGAAAAACACATAGAAATTTCACAATGAAAGTTATAATATTTAAACGTTGAGCAATAAGATACAAAGCATGCCTCTCTAGTATATATACAATACTAATTAGGGTGTATGAAGTACTAAAACAAATCTTGAAATATCAGAGCAGGAAAAAGAATTAATAAGAGTTGAAATGAAACCACGATTCCCCCAATTGAAAGCACATCAGAATACCAAGACAGGCAAACGTAGAGAGAAAAACATGGAAAAAGAACACACAAATATTCTTCAACGCTAAAAGCTATTCATACCCCTTCTTTGTGTTCAATCCAGTCCCAACAGCAGTACCACCCTGTGCAAGCTGCTCAAACAAAAAAATTCGATCAATCAGAACATATAAAAGAAAAAATAAACGGGGAGGGAAAGCAACTCACAATCCTATGAGTTGCCTACCTGATACATCCTAGGTAGAGTAAGCAAAACTCGTTCAATTCCATATTTCACCTGCAGCCAAAGAAAGAGGCTTTTAATAAGTATCTCCTCGAACAAGATACTAATCTTGTCCAAGAGTTAAAGGTGTAAAAAGAATAGTATGGCCCAATGGTGAAAAAATCTCTGCCAGAGGAAAGTAAGCTCACTTGTGTTGAATAGCCGCTGAACTCTTGCCCAAGAGTTAAAGGCGTCGCATCTTGTGTGTGAGTGCGTCCAATTTTAACAATATCTTTGAATTCTTCAGACTGGTAACAGTAAAACAGATGGAATCAAGAACTTCCAATAAGATATCCATATGATTTTGAAGGACAACGGGAGAAATTAAACCTTCGAATGTAGGGCAGCATGCAAAGTTTTCAAATTTGGTATCAGTCTTGAGTTAATTTCCATTGCAGATGCAATGTGCATGACCTGGAAATAACACACAACGTTCAAATAAACAGCAACAAAGCAAAAACAAACCTCACTAAAACAAAAGAAAATGACTTACGGTTGGGAAAGTGTCATTAGAAGATTGTGATCTATTAACATGGTCATTCGGGTGCACAAACTTTTCGCCGCGCTGATGGCCAAGTATCTCAGCGGCCCTGTTCGCAATGACCTAGCCACAGTCCAATATATTACCCCATTAATTGACAGTTGACATCCACAAGAAGCATGACCCAAGAGCATAACTTTCATGGATCAGTGCTAGCTAGCTGCTAAGAGCTCACCTCATTGGCATTCATGTTGCTTTGGGTTCCACTGCCAGTCTGCCAGATAACAAGTGGAAAGTGTTCGTTGAGCTTCCCCTCCGCGACTTCTTGGGCCGCTTGCATTACTGCTTTCCCAATAGTTGGATCAAGACCATACTCCATGTTCACCTGCAATTAGTCACCACAAAACTCAGCTAGGCAATACATCAAACACCTTACCGGCACAACCAACAAGCACAAACCTTTGCAGCGCATTTTTTGAGCACCCCAAAAGCACGAACAATGGGTTCGGGCATACGCTCCCGCTCGCCGCCGATATCGAAATTCTGCAGCGATCTCTGAGTCTGCGCCCCCCACAGCCTGAAAAATCACGTCTTGAATAATTAAATCACTTCAAAATTAGAGACATGAAAAATGAATCAGCAGCTGGGAATTGAGAGAAAGACGAACTTGTCTGAGGGAACGTTGATGGGTCCAAAAGTGTCCCTTTCCTCCCTAAACTTCGTCGAATACGGTCTCAAAGAAGTAGCGTAGCGCAACGCCGCCATCGGCGTCGATCCGCCGGCTGCCCGCCGTGACACGATGTACATCGCCATTTGCAGGTGGTTGAGCTCGGACTGATGGAGAGAAGTATGGAACGGGAGCTGAGTGGTAGGGTGAGTCGTCCAAATTATTGAGCGGCGTGCCAGAAAGTGGGATGCTTTTGGACTAAACGCAGTCGCCTTAACAAACCCGACTGTCGTTTTGGGTTGAGATTTGGGTCGGATGGTAGGGGTCATGGGCTGGTGAGTTGGTCCATATGAGGTTGCAATAGGCAGTCCGAGATTCATGTTACCCAATTAGGCCCACTACACATGGAAAAAATAAAATTAATTAAAAGGAAGAAAAATAAAAAGTAAAAGAAATAGCGAAAATTTATTCAAGTGGTGAATTGTTTGATGGATAATTACTTTGTCCTTTAACCTCTGTGTTTCTGGTTAGAGAAGTTTAGAGTAGTGATACCGATTGTTAAAAAATAAAAAATAGGATAACACTCATGTTTTGTATTTGTACCCCGAAGTCACTCTCTACATCCATTATTACACTGATATATGTTTACATAAAAAGGCGGGAGATTTGGGTTAGGCCACACAATAGGTTGGTCACCCAACGAATCAACCATAATAAATAGGTATCGAACTAGTCATTAACATGATGCAAACTTAAAACTTTCTACTTATATGTGAAGGAAAAAATCATTAGATTGTAGTACTAAGTAACACCCAATCCAATTATTAAAACTTTTCTTTACACTTAACTAAATTAATTAATTATTAAAATATTAAAAACAAAATCCTAAGTGAATGAAGAATTAAGGGCATGAGCGTCCACTACTAGGTCTAGTATTATTACTTTTTACTTGTAAGTAAGATGTTTTAGGTTCAAGTTTAGTAAATGTCGGGTTTAATATCAATTTATTTCTCCACTTTTTAATGTAAAGGTATTGTTGTGTAAAAAAAGAACTCAACATAGTCGTTATTTAGTGATTATAAAGAAGTAGATATTATAATATTTCCTTTTATAATTGTCAACGCTTGGTTTATCATATTCGAAAAACTCCCAGGACAACACCATTGTCAATAGTGTGAGTACATTAATTAGTTTCCTTAATGTAAACAAATAACCAAATTAATTATCTTTCATTCATATTTTAATTTATCCATGTTCAAAAGTTAGAGAAATAAAAAGTAATTTACATGCATGCATGTGGGTTATGCAGCACAACACACTTAAATTTTAAACCAAGCTGTTTGAGAAATACTCGAAATCAAAGAAGAAACAAATAACAATGCATGAAGACAGATATCTTAAAAGGAAATAAAAACAACCGATTGAGCAACATCAACTTGAGAGAGAGAGAGAGAGAGAGAGAGAGAGAGAGAGAGAGAGAGAGAGACTGGTAGATGTTTTACCCGTCAGTAGCTAGCGCTGTATATATATGCAACAATAGTAAGGAAGACAAAGGGAAGACAAGCAAATAAAATGGAGATTTTGGGCTAAGATTTTTGAAGCGTAGTTCCAGTATTTGGAAACAAAACTTCAGAAAGCCGTATATTTATAAACTTAATGAGGACTTTACTTGGTTGGAGTAGTTGATAAACAAAAAAAAAGTAAATTAAAGAAAGACGACTTGGCTCGGTTAATTATGCATTTACTAGTATTTGTAGTTGACGAAGAAGTACGCCGGCCATGTATTGTATATGCATAGAGCCAATGACTTTCAAATGTATTGTATATCACAGGTAGCTTTCCGTAAAAAATTAATATTTTACATGTAATTTTTATTAATTTTCGAATATAGTACATTATATATTTAGTCATTAATCTTAATTTTTTTGGTTTAATTAACCATATAAAATTATATAATACAGTTTATAAAACATCTATTTTTGTTACATCCTTTTTCTCCTCGCTTCTTGTACATGTACAAGTTTGGATTTATTTGAATTTTAACATGTATTTGTTTAATAACGAAAATTCCCGGCTCACCTTGTGAAATTTTCTTAAGCTAGAGCATACTCTGAAAAATACAGTATTAAGTTTCTTTGTTTATAAAGATTTAAATCTTTAAGCTAGCCCATCCGGTAAAAATTTCCTAGCTCCGCCATTGTGTGTAGGTTGTATTGATAAATTTTTTTTTCTTTTTCATTGCATATTGTCTTTAATGGTAATTCTATAACGTAGGCTAGAAAAGAAAAATCACATTAAAGCTTTAATTAGTTCGGCGTAGAGACGCAAAACGTCTGGATTCAAATTAACTTTCTCAAACTAATACTCTATATTGGTTCAAGATTTGGGAAAAATTTTTAATGTGACGGTCATACTGTGACAGTGTTATTAATCTATATGTTAATAGACACCATGATAAATATCTAGAATAGAATGTATAGATCTATATGTTATAACATCAGCAGAATGGTAAAATCGTATAGTTAAATTTTTCATTCTACAGTTTGTTACAGTTGGAGGGTTAGATTTAGTAACATAGTTATTACTAGTTTTTTACAGTTTGTTACATTAGTCTTAAGCTAATGACGGAGATTAAGTTAGCTTATCACCATTATTGTGAGGTGTACACGTACCATAATTCTCTATCTATTATTGAATCAATGAAATCATTCTCAAATTTCCTTCAACAACGTGATAACTATTACCGAAATGCATGTCTTAATAAAATCAAACACACTAATTCAGCATGTTAAATCTTCTTGTAAGTTGTATCGCCTGAAATGTATGCCTTTCATTTCTGGCGAGCATGCAAACTCCTGCATGCATGCATAAAACATATATATATATATATATATATATATATATATATATGTGTGTGTGTGTGTGTGTGTGTGTGTATTGTATGTATGCCTTTCATTTCTGGCGAGCATGCAAACTCCTGCATGCATGCATAAAACATATATATATATATGTGTGTGTGTGTGTGTGTATTGTATATATAGCATTAGCATATCTATATCTAATATAGTATACAAAATAGTATATCGTCGTTAGATGAAGATAAAAAGAATGAACGGTTTCGATTACGATATTTGTACGATGAAGATGCGTTATCACATGTGAGGGGATAACTAGGTTCCCCATGAGGGAACACAAGCATACAATGGCAAGGATGAGAACTTAACAAGAGTTGTTATTTAGTCGTTATTAAGTAGATGTTTTCATTTTTATTTTTAATTTATTAGTATTAAGGGAAGAGGTGGGTTCAAAACTTTTACAATAAACAGAGGAGGAAGAGTTTTGAACCTGAACGCATTGGTAGAAATTCAACACCCTATCCATTAGGATATTAGACCACATGCTGATAAATGCATACAAGAACCAACTTAATTAAATTATCTTTCATTCATATATCAGTCACAAATGATAAATGCAATGCGATTTCTTTTTTTCAAGTAAATGCAATGTGATTAATATAAACAACACAACTTTTAATTTATCCATGTTCAAAAAGTTAGATAAACAAAAAAATAATTCTCAATTTCACATGCAAGCATGTAGGTTATGCAACATAACACACTAAATTTTTTAAAATAAGGTGTTTGAGAAATACTCGAAATCAAAGAAGAAACAACGCATGAAAACAGATATCTTAAAAATATGAACAACCGATTGAACGACATCAGTGTGTGTGTGTGTGAGAGAGAGAGAGAGATAGCTTTTTTAAGAGTACGGATGACAAAGGAAGACGAGCATAAAATGGAGATTTTGGGCTAAGATTTTTGAAGCGCAGTTCCAGTATTTGAAACCAAAACTTCAGAAATAGGTATATTTATACCTTATTGAGAAGTTTACGTGGATCGTATGAAGTAGCTGATAAACAAGTATAGGAATTAAAGAAATACCACGAGGATCGGTAATACATTTAGTAGTTGTAGTTGATGAAGAAGTTGTCCACACGTTTTGTCATATACTGTATTATATATGCAGAGGATCTCTCACATGGCTGTCGGGCTGTGGTTTCTTAATAACTTTGGCTCAAAACGACCTAGTTCTGGCCAGGTCATTTAAAAATATCAATCTATTTTCTTCCTCCTTCTGGTTTGCAGAACCTCCACTGCACTTCGTCTCTGCAGAGAGCTATTGTAAACAATGACTTTCTAAGGTGTAGACCTTCAAAATGTGTAGGGTGTACTGGTAATTTATATAATATAGAGTAGACAAGAAAATTCACATTAAAACATTAATTGCTCAATCTTTCTCTGACAAGTAATAAGGAATTGTTCTCAAACTCAAACCTCGAGCAGAATTCGAAGATGGTGGACTTTGCGTCGATCGCCTGAAGAAATTAAGAGCTACAAGCTGGGAAATGATGTTCCGAAATCGCAACCCTTCGATAGATTGTTGTTGTCTCAAAAAACGTATTAAAAACAAACTTCTTACTGCATTTGGATCCAAATATTTTTCAACGAAACCGAGCACAATGTGTTGAATGGGAGACAAAATCTTATTGTTAAGTTGTTAAAGATAGAAATCCCACCCACAAGATCCGAGGTTGTTGCGTCTTCTATGGATCTGTTTTTTTTTTTTGGGTCAACCTGGTTAAGAATGGAAATTACTCTATATTTTTTAACCAAGTACTGGACCGGTGTTGTCAAAAGGCAAAAGTTTTCCGTCAACGAAAATGTTTATCTGTGGTACTTCAGAAACGATGGCTTTCTTTGGTTCGCTGTGCATCGTTAATTAGTCGGAAAACTAAGGAGGGTGTATTCAATTGAGAATTTGAGAGATTTTAATGGATTTATAAATCCATAGATTTTATGGAGTTTAATTGATTTGTAGAGATTCCATGTAAAATTTTGATTCAATTCCTTCGAAATCTCTTGGGGGAAGGTGAGATTTGTGGATGCTCAAAATACACTACGAAATCTCTCCAATTCCCTCTAATTCCTCAACTTTCTCAAATTCTTTAAAATCAAATTCTAATTGAATACACCTGGAATGTTATAAACTTCTTTAAAATTCTAATTGAATACACCCGGATTTCTAAGGATTTTCATAAACTATCTTAAAATCTTGATTGAATACACATTGAATTTCAGAGAATCACTTAAATTCCTGATTGAATACCCCTAGATTCATTAAAAGAATTAAAATCCCTCAAAATCTTAATTGAATACACCCCCCTAAGTCTTTAAAGCTAAGACGACAACCAAGCATTATCACTGCTGCATCATTTCTTTCGAATATGCTGAGTTGGAGATGAATCCCAACTTTTCAACTGATAATTATTACTTGTTATTATCTCATGTATTTTCAGTCTGTAATTTTGTTATTGGAGATAAGACTCCTTGTAACTGAGAATCCACTCTCTACCTAATGAGGTAGATAAAACTTACCTATCTCTAAAAGACACGACGATGATATCTCAAATCACTTGTTCATGTGTTTAACCATTCACTATTGACTTGAGATAGCGTAATTGTGGCGTTCCAAATACATAGAAAAATTTTCTCATAACGGGGGACCCTCGACCTGTCTCCTGCAGTTATGATGCCCTACTACTGCTGCCCAGTAACACTCATAGTGCTCTACAAGAATTGAGAGACACAAAACTACTACACTGGGCTCCATTTCACTAATCACAAAAGCAAAGTTACGGTCTTTGAAAATTAACTAAATGAAACCAACCAACCCCATTGACCCCATGGCTTTGCAATCTGTCCCTCTCAGGCTCTCAGCCTTCACAAACAAACAAAAAAATCAACAAAAATAGGAAAAAAGAAAAGGAGAAATAAAAAAGAGCTTTAATTAATTGAAATTAGGTGTATAAAGTACTAAAGCTTGTTGCTTTGCATAAGTTCATATGAAATATGAATATTTATGAATTTATGATATATATTGGCCGTTTCTAGTTAGCAGCCAAACAATTTAAATTCTAGGTGGCGGTTGCTAGCTGGTTTTCTTTGTTCCCCTCCTCCACGGCCGCCGCCGCGGGTTACCCATGTGATTGTGTCCTTTATCCAAGGGTTTTTTTTTTGTCAATATGCTAAAACACATATAGTTATCGTCAGCCTTTTTCTAGAACCAGAAACACGTATCAGCTTCGCTTAAGATAAGCTCCAGCAATTTGATGCCAATCCCTTCTTTTTTGGTTTTCGACAACTACCGGATATTTATAAAAACAAATTACAACGGGGTAATGAACAAATCACCAAACTGTTAAACGTGGATCATCAAACGCACCGTTATCACGTAATTGTATATGTGTAAGTCAAATTTGAGACTATTGTTGAACTTCGAGCATAATTAGGTATCAAATTCATCATTAGCAACTGAAAGCGTTTTTAGATAAAATGTTTTTAGATTTTAAAAGCACCTAAAATACTTCATGCAAGAAACACTAGTTATGTACTTTTTACGTTTTCACTAAAAACGTTTTCAATCATTTTAAATGCGTTTTCACTAAAAAACGAGTGCTCATACTTTGTAGGCAATGTGTGGCATGTGACGATGTAACAAAGTGAGTGAATAGTAGGCATTGTACGTTGACAGATTAATAAGCCATTAGGCGTGGAACAAATGGCGCCGCAGATTTTGGTAAAACAACACAAAGTCCTCGGAGAAAACTTAAACTAAAAAAGTAAACAAATACGTGTTCGTAAAAGGTGTGTCATCAGTTGAAGTGTTTGATTTGATGTCAGTCTCGTAATTGATACTAGGAGGAGGAGGAATGAGGGAATAAATTCAGCACTCCGAGGAGAAGCAGCGGCAAGAGGGGCAGACAAACACTCATAAAGGAGGAGGAGCCGGCGAGGGTGGCCTACACATGGCGGCACAAGTGGCTGCGGTCTGGCGCTTTGGCATCTTGGGCTGACGCCAGCCTTGCAGTATCGGCACTTCAATGACATTATGGTCCCTCCGCCCCCACCACCGTGCGCAGTGCACCCAACAAGCGAGTCCTTGCCTTCCAGTAATTTGGCATGTCACTGCAACGGTATCTCAAATTAAATTATACATTATGTTTTTATAATCAATTAATCAATTCGCATTGTTATTTGTAAAAATTAAAATATAATTAATTTGAAACGCCAATCAAATTCTCGTATTAATTACACAGATTTTGACTGTGTTTTTGTGTCTGTTATAGACTCATGGAGGGTTTTGGGGGCCAAGATTGTGTCGGCAAGACAGGATTTTGTGTTGGGAATTGTGGAGGTTTAATTAAATTACTAAAATTTGTTTAAGGAACAAGATTACCTCTTTATTGTCGAAGATTTTGTAAAAGATAAAATATATATATATTATTCAAATTTGCACTTTCCAACTTTGAAGCGTGGAAAATGCTTTTTATTGTTACGCAAATTGCAAATTTCAGCTGGCTTTTACTTTTTTTAAGCTGTCGTTTTCTCTCACCACCCGTTTGTTTTTGTTTGTTTTTTTGTTTTGATGTACATCATTGGCAATTTATACACCAAACCCTCCTCTTACTTGTTCCTTTTTCACTTCTTCTTCCTCCTTTCGTTTCATATTTCACTGCGTTTTTGCAGAGATTTTAGAGCCTGCTGCTCTCTGAGTTAGGTCATTTGGTAATTTTCTGTTAAGTGGAAGGGCAAACGACTAATGAAGAGCCTAGTAAGTACGTTGGTTTTGATTTCTGGTGTTTGATTCATAAATACATGTGTGTTTGTATGTTGGTTTTTAATTTTCATCATCCGGGAATCTGCAAAAAATGATCTTTTTGATCCAGTGATTGTTGGTTTTTACATTGTATATGGGGTTTCCGTACGATGTTTATGAATTCATCATTCTCAGATTAGATTGCTTCTTTGTTATGCCTACATTGTCAAGATCTTCGGACATCGAATGCTGTATACTTTAGTGTCTTCTTTGCTCTCTATATCGTTGATTTTTACGTTTGCGCTTTCTGCATCGTTGATTAAGGTTTCGATTTTAGTGTGTTTTTCTTGGTGTTCTGCCAAGTTGGTTGCAGGATTTTTGTAGGCACATCTCTTACTTCCGTCCAAGGTTAATTTTCTGTTGTTTTCGTATATTTCAGTTGGCTCTGCTTTTGATTCTGGCATTTACTAGTGCTGCTCAGTATGATGGAGAAGGGAAGGACGGAGAATGCGAAGGGAATAAGCTTTTCGATCCAAGACCTCACAGTGTGTCACTCTTGGAGTTTGGAGCAGTTGGAGACGGGAAAACATTGAACACGGTCGCGTTCCAAAATGCTATTTTCTATGTCAAGTCGTTTGCTGACAAGGGCGGTGCTCAGCTCTATGTTCCGCCCGGAAGGTGGCTTACCGGAAGTTTTAACCTCACCAGCCACCTCACGCTCTTCCTGGAAGCTGGCGCCATCATTCTTGGATCCCAGGTTCACATATAACGCAAAGGAAAATTTATTTCCGCACACTTTTTTCTTTCTGTGCACCGTTTTATTCATGTCATTTGATTTTTCTTTGATTTTATCAATTCAAAGGCGGCATGTGGAAATCATTTCCATAACCAAAATTTTTCTCTGCTTTGTTCCAATAGAAGCTTTCCCACATTGTAAAAAACACTCGGTGTTGGCAATGCTTATGCAGGATTACACTCACTGGGAAACTGTGGAACCCCTGCCTTCTTATGGTAGAGGGATTGACTTGCCGGGTTGGAGATATCGTAGTTTGATCAACGGAGACAATCTAACCGATGTGATGGTAACAGGTGAGGATTTCACCCGTAAAAAATGGTTTTTTGCTGACATATATCCGAGTTCTACCTTTTGTACGTAACTCATTCCACATTCGATAAATTTTACCAGGTGATAATGGAACCATTGATGGACAGGGTTCCGTCTGGTGGGAACAATTCAGCTATCATGCCTTGAATTATAGCCGACCACATCTAGTGGAATTTACCGGATGTGAAAATGTTACTGTATCGAATTTAACCCTCTTGAACTCCCCTGCTTGGCACATTCATCCGACATACTGCAGGTACTGCTCGTAGCTTCTGAGGTCAAATTTTGCATTTCTGGTACCAGTTGCATTTCAAGAACTGATGCTAACCTTTACGTGTCGAAATAATGCAGCAATGTGCAAGTTCTAAACATAACTCTTCATGCTTTTCATGCATCTCCATATACTAGCGGTATAGTCCCAGGTGCGTCAAACATTATTTTTCACTGTTTATCTATCACTGCATCTACATATACAAAGAGCCTAAGTATCTTTCGTTCGTGTAACTTCAGATTCTTCAGAAAATGTTTGCATTGAGAACTGCAACATTAGTGTGGGGCATGACGCAATTGTTCTCAAGAGCGGTTGGGATGAGTATGGAATTGCCTTCGGAAAACCAACAAAAAATGTGCACATCCGTGGCGTTAACATTCAGTCTTCTTTAGGCTCTGGCCTGGCATTTGGCAGCGAGATGTCTGGAGGCATATCGAATGTACGTGCAGAGCAGCTTCATCTACATGACTCATTCATCGGCATTGCACTCAAGACAGCTATGGGAAGAGGAGGTTATATGAAAGACATAGTTATATCCAATGTCGAAATGGAGAACATTCACTTGGCAATTGAGGCTACTGGTCAGATCGGTTCGCATCCTGATGAAAAATATGATCCTGATGAACTACCAGTAGTTAAAGGAATCACCTTTGAGAATATGGTAGGTACTAATATTACATTAGTCGGAAACTTTTCTGGACTCAAAAAATCGCCTTTCACATCCATCTGTCTCTCGAATATCTCCTTCTCCCTCACTTGGAATTCGTCTACCTCATGGTTCTGTTCCAACGTGATCGGTTTTTCGCAGGAAGTTTCTCCCAAACCATGTCCAAATCTCCAAGTCTCGGCTTTTAACTCTTCCGCAGCTTGCTTCTTTCCCTTATATAATTATGCTTCAGTTTTGTGAGATCAACGTCGAAAAGACAAAATCATTGGTTTTTTGCAATCTGTACATGAGATACCATTTATACAGGAGAATTTTCCAATAAAGCTCCAACTTCGTATCTTCCATCTCTTTGAATACAAACAGGCATTCTCTGCCTTGCTACGAGATCTTTTCAAGTGTTAGCGGCGTCCTGATAGGCTCACGTAGGGCCTCATCTCTTCGTGTACAAGGAAATTTTGGTAGTGCAGTACAACTCAGATAGCCATTTGCTTCCGTTGTGTCTTTATTTTCCTTTGATTACCTTTAGCTACGATGTAAATTTCGTGTAATGTGGATTGATACCAGATTAATTTTCTGGCACAGAGAGGTTAAGTGACTGATGTGATTGAAATTATGAGTAATTCTTGTTTAATGTCCTGATTCAGTCAAGTTTGGTAATGAATGGACTTGTGGATCTTGCACGTAGTTGGTTCCGTCATTGTCCGTATTGTTGGAGGGAAACTTACCTGCACTGATGTTATAGTGACGGTATTTTAAGCCAATCACGCACTGTCACGTATTTGGATGTGTACTAAAGTTCGTTTCTTACTTTCCGACATGGTAATGTTGCAGATGAAAATAACCATAAACTTTTAAGCTTACATTTCTCATGTCCCATGCTTTTAACCCAACTCAATCTGAAAAAAACTTATGCAATGGTCACCACCAACTGTTTTTGGTCCCAAATCTTTGGGGTTGCTTTTTCCAGTAAATCTTGGTTATTTCTTTATGTTATTTGAACCAGTAACCGATTTATGGATGAGTGCTCTTGAAGTAACAAAAGATCCTGAGTTTGAGACTCTCTACACAAAAAATATTCTCTTAAATGAAGGTATTCGTGCTTGGATGGCGGCTCAAGATTAGCCTCATGAAAAATCTTATAATCCTTGAGAGAGGTTCTACCCCGTAGAAACGCTCTTTAATGGAACTTTATCTTTAGACGGTCATGACCAAGAAACCACCGGTTCATTTGGTGGGCAGGGAATGCCAGACTTATCAATCTATCCCGTATTGGGGGCTCATGTAGCTTATGCCGGATTAATCGTATTCTGGGCAGGAGCAATGAACCTATTTGAAGTGGCTAGTTTTGTAAAAGAGAAGCCTATGCATGAACAAAAGGCTAGAAACAAAAAACTGGATGAAAGGACACATGCATACCGTGAAAGTTGACCGGAAAACAAGAATGACGGAGAATATAGAGGGCTTTTCACGTAAAAGACCGTGAAAAAGAATGACGGAAATAGAAAGAGCTTTTCACATGCAAGCCCACGACAACTTAACACGAAAATACAGCCGAGGCTGTTGCAACTATTCGTAGGCACCAGGACTTTCGAAGAGGTAAGCTTCAACAACTTTGTACATGCCCATTGCTCTTTCTTTGCCACCGCTGATTTCTTCCTCGTTGATCTCCAAGTCACCCGCGGCGTCGTACTCACTCATCGTCTTACAAGTACATCCGCCGTTAGGGGAAGCTGAAAGCTCACCTCATAAGAAATGGACTTAATCTTGTCGTCCAATACATCTCCTTCAATCAGAGTGTACTTGCACACCAAATTCTCCACGTCCAGAGTGTCTTGTAACGCGTACCAGCACAGCATCAACGATGACGAGCATGTAGGCGCATTTAGACGTGAAACAGAGAAATGTGGCGCGACGAAGGTGATGATTTTTAGTTTGAAGTAACTTCCGCACTCTCCTTTTGTCCACCTCCATTCCTCCTTTTTACTCTAGCAATGGACAAAAACAAAAGTAGGATGCATAAAGAGAAAACGAGTGTGAAAATCACTACCTTTTTTTTTTATCAAGGTCATCAATTACAAAACAAGTGGTTGAAACTAGACATGTAAAAGAGAAATGTGACGCGACAAAGATCATTTTTTATTTGGGAGTTATTTCCGCCTCCCATTTTTCTCCGTTTGCACTCCTCCTTTCACTCTAGCAATGGACAGAGACAATCAGAGGTTTGCTTACGGAGAAAACCAGAGTGTGAAAATCACTATACTTTTGATTAGGGTAAATGATCACATGCTTAATTGATAATTACACTCAGCAAAGTTGATCTGCTTGATGCTTCCTACGCCGCCGTCGCCGTTGATGATTTCGATGCTCTTGATGGCCTGAGCCATGAGCTTGGGGATGAGATTGTCGGAGTCTAGGATCAAGGCCTTGAACAACCTGTCTGCTGCCACTGGACTTGTAAATTCCTGCCTCGAACTTACGGAACTCATGATAGTTAGCTAATTAATTGGCCTTTTGCTAATATGAAAAATGATAATTAGAGAGTGTAGAGGTTGGGTTGAGAGAACTGAATTGAATATAAACTCCTGGCTCAAAACTTATAGATTTGAATTTCTTACTTTTTATAGTTGGCTTTGTTGAAGACGTGACACAGAACCGAGCGCAATAGTGTTCTAGGATTCATATAGCCGATCCCACTTAGTGGGAAAAGGCTTTGTTGTTGTTGTTATAGTTGGCTTTGTTGGACCATATTTATTGTTATAAGCATAAATCATAGTCTAACAGATATGAAACCGACATGGAAGTGCTTTTAAAATGATTGAAAACCGTAGAGAAAATAAACTACTTTTGGATACTAAACACACTTGAAGTTTTTCCTGCAAGAAGCACATAACTGGTGCTTCTTTGCATAAAGCACTTTAGGTGCTATTTTAGGATTTACTTGCATTTTTATTAAGAATTGGTTCTAAAAATATTTTCACTAAAATACTTTTAGTCATTTTAAAAGTAATTTCAAAATAGCCTAATTCAAACGTGTAGATATTTGTATTATTGTTGTTGTTGTTGTTACAATCATCAAACATTATATTTATATAACAAACTGTTCTTGTCCTTGCTATATTGTTAGAAGCATCTAAATCATTTTTTAGACAATATAATCCACCAACTTGTTTGGATATGTACCTTTTGGTTCATGGTTAAAAATTTAGACAATTTCTCGATTTTTGCATGTCGTTTATACAAATATAAAACAGTTAGATGATATATTTTTATGTTAAAAGTAGAGGGTTTATTTGTGTCTCTTGGAGCCAGCGAGCCAAAGAAAAGGCCAAGCTCTATTAAGGAATGGAGAAACAAACTTAAGACATTGAGTGCATAGATAAACGCTCGTAATCATTAAAAAAATCACGTAATAATCACAAGAATGGGGAAATATAAAATTTATAAACAGGGATTATATGTCATCCACACCAAAGTCTGGCAGGATTTGTCAACAGAACTCACTCTTAAACATATACAAGCAACTGGATTTATTGCTTCACTTTAACTGTGTATATATATAACAAGAATGTATTAAAACCTCTCTCTCTCCGTAATAAATCAAAGAAATCATTGAAAAAAAAAAGAAGAAAAAAAACCTGAATCACTCCGTCAATGTGTCGAGTTAACACCTCTACTTTCTACTCCCAGCTTTGCGTTTCATCTCAGCCGGAACTGGCTGCCTTGCAGTCCGATGTGGTACCCCGTTCAAAGGTTTTCGTGACGGTGAAGGGCCTAGAGAAGGATTAAAGCTCTTGCTGCGAAAAACCATTAGCAGCTCTTTTAGGAAGCAGGTTATATAAAACTCACTAGACTAAATGTATATGCAATTTGCAAACAGAACGCCACGTTCGAATTACCTTGGTTCTAGGCCTTTCATTGGCTTTCCATTAGGTTTCTTGGTTTTTGAAGCAATCCCATTGCCTATGCTGGTAAGTTTAGTTTGATTGAATTGCCAGAGCAAATCATGCTCTGAAGAGTCACTGGTGGCAGCATCAAGATCATCCATGTCATCGGTGCTAGCAACATTGAACCCATTGCTTCCCGCGAACATATTGTAGGATTGTTCTGGATAAACCTTGGAAGAATCCTGGAGATATTTCTGGTAGAAACCATCAGATAAATTCCCACTGTCTGCTCCCCATGATCCTAAAGGATTTCCAGCTCTGCTTGCTTCTAGCTTGTTTACCATAACCTTATCAACCCACTCGCCCGAGCTCATGTCTCTATCATCCTCCCCACAGTTCTGAATAGGACTATCAACTGGGGGCCAGGGAGATGAATTCCCTAGTAGCTCATCAAGATCAAAGCTTTGTCTTTTTGTCCTCAAAGCAGAATTGTCGTTAATCTACAAAAGCAAGACATCAACAAGAGCGCCAAGTCACAGTGATTAGAACATACTAGCCGTATGACCGTTGAAAACAAATCTAGGACAAGAAACTACAAGGCAAAAGAATGAGGCATCAAACTCAAAATTTGACATGACATCTACCGACAGTTGAAAAAAAATGACGCCCTTCAGAATCACCATCAAAAGCTTACACTTACCTCGATTTTGCCTACATTGATCATTGGTGTCCGGCAACCATTCTGATCCCCCATCATGTCTGTACCCTGATGTTTAGAATGAAATGGTGACATCTCACCAGATTTCATCCTGTATTTATCAGAGCTGCCAGAGACTGGGGGTTGATTGTGTTCAGCTTCCTCTTTCCTGGCTAGTTGTGCCTTAAGATCAGCAATCTGATCGCAATAGAAAACTTCAGTAATGCATAATGAGAATTGAAACGATACAAGTGAGAGTGTGACAGTGAATGTAAAAACCTGTTCTTTGAGAGCTTTGACATCTGTGCTATCTTTGTTTACCCGGGCTGCACCAAGTTCAACTGTGGCTACTCGCTCTGCAAATTTGAGCGTGCTTATTGTTTCACCAACAGCATCTGGCTCAGGGCTTATGTGAACAAACATAAGTGTCTTGGCCTGTCCACCTGAAATATGATACAAATAGAGAACCATAAACAAAACTTTCTCAATAAACCAGGCTAAACATCTCTCAAGAAGGCATGTTTTAGTTAACCTTACCAAGTGAATCTTGGAGCAACTGTGTTAGTTTACTATTTCTATAAGGAACATGTGGATTCTTTTGGGCAAGGGAAGCAATAACATCGCCTAAAGCTGAGAGTGATTTGTTAATATGTTGAGCTTCTTTTAATCTATCCCCAGTCACCTCAGATTTGTCCACCCTCTCACTTCCTGCAAGATCAACCAGATGCATACAGCCACGAAGAATAGCTCCAGATGTCAAATCCCTTCCTTGAACATGAACATTCAAGCAACTGCAGATTGATAAAAGTTAGAGACTTAGAGTTGGCTAATTGCAACAAAACCATATATACATGCTCTCAAAACACAAAAAGAAGACTAGATTCCCACCTGTGAGAACGACTACTACGGTCATTTAGGGCAGTTGCACCCACAACACGATTCTTTTGTCCAAGGTTCATCAGATCGATAACATCAGATGTTGATGATACAGGAACAAGATTTGCATCTGGCACACTGAGACCTGTTTGAGAACTATTACGAATTTCTAATGTGTGAATAGTTAAGGAAAGCCTGGAATGTGTGAAAGACAACGAAAATACAACTTTAGTTTTTAGT